GTTCTCTTCTGCACTTCTTTACTTTTACACTGCAAAAGCAGTCGCTAATGATTCACCCAGGCCCGTCTCCGCAAACGCCGCCTGGGAACACGCCGCGCCCCCCGACCAACCGTTCGACTACGACGCTCAACCAAGCAACTTCTACATCGACGTCGAAAGCGTCGGCAACCTCGACCCGGACATGATCATCCAGCAGGGTATTATCGTTCTCCAACGCAAACTCGCCACCGTCATCTCCTCCCTCTCGGGCGCCGGCGACGGCGGCCGCAACGGCCTCCCCGAAGACGAGGACATGATGGGCGTCCGCAGTCCCGACGCATACGAGCCGCCAGAGGGCATGGACGGCGGGTTCACGGCATACGCCAACGGCGGCACGAGTGCCTGGGGAGCCAGCGCGGCAACTCCCTACGGTGCAACGCCGTACGGCGGCGGTGGGTACGGCTTCTAGGCTGTAGCCCCTTCGATCTTCCCAAGTCGAAAACTAAAACCAAACCAAAAATGAACATGAAAAGCGATTGGGGCGGGGAGAAGAAAGCGAGGGAAGCGACTTCGACTTCTCTGTAGCCTTTAAGGTTCCACGCAAGCATCCGAAACGGAGTTAAATGGTGTTTTGTCTGGTTTTACGGGGCGCAAGTTCAATTTCATGGGATTCTTCTCCATCCAACACAGGTCATACCATAAGCTGACTGATTTGATTCATTTCTGTCGATATTTCTCGATTCATCTATTCTCTTTCGCTGATGGGGTCTTCTTTTTATACTTGTACATCTTGCTGCGAAAATGAAATCTCGGAAACTATCATCTAGACCGTGGAACATGAAGAAGTGATGGGAGTACCTTGTAGATTGAGTTGTAAATGCCTCGTACATGCTAGACCCTATGCTAGGAATGAAGGAGTGTATCACGATATAAAAAGACCGCAGAAAAGACAAAAGCCAATATAAGCGCCATCTTGCACCTTCCTTCCTTACCTGCTGTATGTATCCTGAAAGAACGGAATCACAGAACACCAGCCCTTTCCATATCCAACAAAACACAGAAAAGAAGAAAAACAAAAAGACCACTCGTCTATTCTGCTTTTGACCTCAGTTTCGCCGGGAAATGGGAGTAAAAAAGAAGAGACGAGCTGGATAAACTCGTGGACGGAAGCCAACCCAGACCAGATACCATGCCGACGCCCGATGTCTAGGGAGTAATCGACCGAGAACGCCGAGTGGAATTGCGTGCAGCGAGGGGACGAAACGCCGTGATGACTAAACGACTAAACCAAAGKAGGAGAGGAGGACAACAGACGTAAGATGTATGTGTGAACGGGGGTAACCGGTAACCCCCTTGCAACCCTCCTCTGGCGGCGTTCAGACCCCCTCGATGGTATCCGACCCTAGATCGTCCGATCCATCTGGTAACATGGAAGGTGATGGGATTTTGCGCCCAGCTCCATATACCATTTCCATGAGTTTGGCCTTTTGCTTTTCTCGGACGGAGCGGAGGTACTCGTATGTACCCTCCAGCCCGCGGATCTGGCCGTCGATGACTGCTTCAACTGGTCCGAGCATCCGTCCATGACTGCGGCCGCTGCCTCCCTCGACAGCACCGACAAAGCTCACAGAGTCGTTTCGGCGCACCAGTGGACTGACCAGCTTTCGTCGCAGGGTCTCCAAGTTGACCTTGAGTGTCAGAAGACGGCCGCGGTGATCCATCAGTAGGTGCTTGTTGGCCACAGTCCGGCTGCGCACATTGGCCAACAGGCGCTTGTTCTTCTCATATTTGCGAACCATAGCGGCATCAGGACCGAGGACTCGCGTCCACAGGGAGCTCAGCATCTCCCCCTCGGCACGTTCTTGGGCGTCTGACTCGCGCACAACGGTACGCTGCAGATTGAGAAATTGGCGATCTATGGATTCAAAGAGGGCAAATAGCGCGGTCGAATGGGTCAGTTCACTATTGATCGACTCTTCAAGGACCGATAGGAACTCCGTGAAGGTTCGCGTGAGAGTGGCCCGTGTCCGCTGGGCGGAAGTCTGACCCAGCACGGCCGTCACGACGAGACCGAATGTGGTTGGAGTGGTTGTCAGCTGGCCGGCACTCGCCTCGCCGTTGGGAGCGGACAGACGCTCCAGCGTGCCGAGCCGTGATAAGAGATCATGCACGTTGTCGAGGACAATGGATGGCAGAGAACTTGGAGGTTGCGACGATAAAGTCTCCAGCTCTCTTTTGGCCCAGTCCATGACTATCAGAATCGAGTCAACGTCGGAGTCGACATTGGCGAAAAAGCGCGTTAGCTCCAGTGACAATGTTTTCAGCGACTCGGACAGTTCATCTAGCTGGCGCACAATGATCGGGGCGCTGGTCATATTGGTACCGCGCACTGATTCACTCAGATCCCAGACAGCCACGCCGGTCTCCTGCAACGTCCCGATCTGCTGTACTCCATTTTCCGAGTAGTATATGAGAGGCTCAAAGGATCGCGCAAAGCTTGACAATTTCACCAGATCCGGGATCGATTGAGGGAGATTAGGTAAGAACAATGCGCGCATGAATGCGATGGACAGGAACGCAATTAGGATGGACAGTGTGGTGTTGGATTTGGAACTAGTGATCTTGTCGAACTTGGATCGCAAGTAACTAAAGATTGCGACAAATGGTTCGCGATGCTGGACTTCTGCGCGCACAGCAAACCGGATATCTTGAGAAAAGGTCCACCTATTAGTATCCCGCGCCAGCTTGCTGGTCAAGGGTGCAAACCAAGATAAAGCCTACAATTGCTCAAGTTATTCTCCGGCCCAAAGTCCAATCCCTCGTCCGCGGGGCTTGCCTTGAGCGCCGGACCGGGACTCGGGGACCGTCCCTTGAGTGGCGTATCCGATKGTAACGGTATGTCGGCAGCGATGGTCGCATCTCCTGTGTCGGCCGACTCGCTGCGTTTCTTCACTTGGGGGGTCTCGATCGCATCTTCGTACTGTGGGCTAGCCTCGCGCGACAGCGACGGGCTCACTCCTACGGTCGGCTTCAGCACCGGCCGATCGTTCTCGCCTTTGCGCAGATAGGGTTGATGGCGATACCACCCGCTACCTTGAACGTAATCATATCTGCGAAAGCCCGGAGGCGACCAACGCTCACCGTTCGGAGTGGTATCCTCTTCCTCACCTTCCGACTCCTCTGAACGAAACCCGGAATGCTGTGAGGGGAGGCCGAATACGGGAGAGCGATGCGCATTGCTGTTGTTCTCAAAATCCTCTAGCGACGCATCCAGCGACGGATGGTCATCAAAAACGTTATCCAGCTCGTCCAGCATGATGGACGGCGTTGCGCACAACCTAAAGCGAAGTTGTAAAGCCACTTCAGTCAGTGCGCTGTCAAAGCGACAACTCGAGGTGCAGCTCTGAGACAGCGATGGATTGGTAGAAAGCTTGAAGGAGGGGTTAGTCGCAAGCGCGCTAAGATCCGGTAAGATCTGATCTATGTGCTGTCGGAAATAAATGACGAGGCAAAGAATCAGAAGTTCGGATAAGAAGCAAAGAGTTTAGCAAGTCGAATGCAAGAAGCAGTAATGGGACGATGCAAGACATGGGAATGCGCTGCGCGAGGTTCAGTTGGAGGGAGGGGGGGGAGCCTTGATGCCTGAGGACCCGAAACCCGAATAGCTAATTCTGACTAACTGTAGAGCGACAAGTCACTCACTGGCCTGTCGATGCCTGGGACAAAGTACTGTAGGTGGCCCGGGAGGTACATACAAACAGGAGGCGCTTGCATCAAACGGACCAGCACATTCCACGGGAAATTCAGTCTGTAAGATGTAGAAGCACCCACGTTAGTTAGTAGTAGACGTGAAGACGCGCTGATAGACTTCCGCCAACAAGAATGGATGAATCTCTGGTATGGAATGTATGCCTGCAAGACTTTGATCGCGGTCTACCCTAAGTTACAAGAGGGGGAATCCGATCTCAGATATGCTGCTGCTCCTGGCTGATGTACCCGAGTTTATCAAGGCTGATAAGCTGCTGGTAACTGCACTGGTAACTCGTACGGGTACCTTAGGTACCATACCCAAAGGGAGGGGGAAGGGGGCATCTCAGACTCGCGCTGATTGGCCCATCACGAGGATGAGGGGGCGCAGAGGGTGGCTGGACCAATCAAATCGGCCAGCCGGGTGTCATGTGCCCATGGTTCCAGCTGTACTGTACCGTACAGGGCCATCGTAGTCTCCAGTCTAGCAACATCATAGTATCAATCATGAGCGTTTTTAGCCTAGAGTCCACCGCATAAGTGGATGTACCTAGCAGGACCTCCTCAGAGCTAGACCAGACGAACAGCGTGGCCTGCGTACCGGACCAATCAGGGAGCAATGTCTGATGATGGCTGCAGGGATCGTCCACCAGATGGCCGTTGTATTGGCGAGGAGAGTCGCAACCCGTAGACGGGCGAACAGCAAGATGAGCTTGGAAGACGACGGACTCGCCTCCACTCGACGTCGCTGGAGCTAAGAGTATACCTGAAACTAGGTGTCAATATCCACGAATCATCAACAGGCTAGGGGAAGACAAGAGAGTCAGAAGATGGACGAGTAACTTCCTTCAGGCAGCAAGGCAGAAATTCACCTGTCAGCAGGCGCCTACACCAACACGTGACGAGCGATGACGCACGTGGGCCGACAGTCTGAGGTAGAACTCTCAGCAAGAAGCAGGGTCATCATGAGAGGAGATCTCTTAATTCATTATGGTCGGTCGACCTAGCGTTAACCATGGTACACAAAATCCGAAGCAAAGACATAACCATCGGAAAAAGGATAATAGACAATTCCGCACGCTAGGACTCTATGATATCCGCCATGTTCCAGCACACAGAAAATATCAGGTCTATTGCGTTTAAACAAGGTTGTAGTATAGTACATGCCCTGTCCGTCGAACTGCCGTGCATCTGCTTTTACCACAGGAGGATCGGCGCGACAACGTTCCCGGGACAAGATCGAAGAGACAAGTGACTTTTCAGGGTGAACATGTTTAGCAGTTCTCCTTGAGGTAGCTGTAGGGGAGAAACAGTTAGCGCCTGCAATGCCAACCATGGCAGAGTGAGTCTTTGGCAAAAAAACATACGTGATCAGGTCGTTCCTCTCCTTGCCCTTCTTCAGACCACCGAAGGCCATCTTGGTACCGGGGATGAACTTCTTGGGGTTCTCAAGGTAGGAGAACTGCAGAGGCGCATTAGCATGGCTCATATCGAGAGAAAGTCTGGAAAATGATAATACGTACCAGAGTGTTCTCGTCCCAAGTGACACCGGCCTGCTTGTTGGCGTCGGTGTAGGCGTAGCCCTCGGCGGAACCGGTCTTACGGCCGAAGAGGCCGTGGAGGTTGGGGCCGACCTTGTGGGCACCGCCAGACTCGACAGTGTGGCACTGAGCGCAACGGGTCTAGAGCGAGCATCTTAGTCGCTATCCAAATAGATACTATGGCCGTTGTTCTGGTACTCACCTGGAAGAGCTTGGCACCCTTCTTAGCGTCACCTGGAGTCGCGATAATGTTAGCCATCTGTTTCGCCTTTTCCGCCGCTTCAAGTTCGGCTTCGCGCATGTCAATGGTAGTGAGGAGGCAGAAGGTATCGAAGCTCGTCATTCTGCTTGGGGTGTGCTCGTGGAAATGGTAGACACCGGGTCGAGAGACGTTTGAAGTGTAACAACGAGACGCAACGATTGCGATACCAGCTGATCCTTGCTACCAGTGTGGATGTTGTGGTTGAGAAGAGGCCTGGGGAGCAGGAATACTCTTCTCCTCCCCCAGATCCAGCCATCATTCACTGGACGTCTTCTGAAGCGAACATGCGAGAGGACGCCGCGACGCAGTGAATGACGGCAGGTTCCAATGAGAGGAATACAAGGAAACCGCGAGAAAAGGGAACAGTAAGGTAAGCTTACCAGGAGCGAAACCTTCGTCCTTGCCCATTTTGAATGTACAGGTAGATTTGAATGAAGATTATGAGATTGAAAATGGTTTTGTACAAGGTGAATTGGAATACAGAAGAATCCAAAAAAAGTCTGGAGAATCAATTGGGGGAGAAACGGAGCAAGCTGGCAGGGGAGAAAAACTTGCGGGCGGAATTTGTAGATTGATGCGGCCGGCCTTGCCCCCGGCAACTCCCGTGATCTGAACATCCGCCAATCAGATCCATGATGATTCAACAGAAAACGGGCGCTGTCGGGACACGGTCACACACTGGGAAATTCCCGGTGTGGATTTTTGTCTCTGCCTTACGTCAATGGCATCACTTTTTATAGCCATCTACGGAGGTACGGATAGAGAATCTGGATACCATTCTAGGCAATTTTGTTTCTTGATCTGGATGCAGACAAGTAGATACCTGCATTGAAATCCAGATTCAGAATTCATTTTCTTTCTTATTGCGATTTGCCTTCCCAATGGCAATCGCCAACATCACGTACACTATGATCTCATCGTAGGCTCAGACTCAGCATCTCCAAGCATAAGTCGCCTTAAGCCCCAGTCCGCATAGAGAGAAGAATTAGCACACATACGGATGCGAAGATGGTGCATATTACATGCGCTCACCATATGTGCACTTATCTCCACGTAAGTGCACTTCCAAGAGTTTCGCAAGGCTGCCTACATACTGGTTCGGCATTACTGCAGCAGCCGGAACCAGTCCCTGAGCGTTGGAAATGGAAGCGTCGTCATTTGTCCGCTAGTTCGATCGCCGACCCAAATTCTTCCAGAAAAATAATTCCGCTCCGCCGGCTTTGGTGGTCCGATACGTTGTCGGCCTGAAATCTGAGGCGTCAAGGCACGCACCGACCAGCCTTTGAACTGAAGGTCGTGCCTATTCAGACTCAACACATCCGGAGCGACCTAGATCGATATATGCCGAACATAATGCACTTTTCTGTAGTTCTATCTCTACCCGACCTAAAGTAAACATATCAGTATCGGAACATCAGATAGCACTGTCATGGCATGAAGCAGAAACCGCTGCTGTTCGTCTCTATAGTCACGTGATATCAACATCAACATCGCTGACGGAAAAAAATAGTCGGAAATGTAGCGGACAAGAGGCACCAAGCACGGAGGATATGCGCCTCTCCACAACACACCCTCTTTAAAACGTCTACTACGCCTGTTATATACAATGGCACCCATAACCATCCCCCAATTCCTCCTCCCTCGCGGGATACCCTCCCCCCGAACCTTGAACGCCCTAACCCGCCGCAGCAACCCGATTACTCTCGCAACCACAGTCCCCTCCTCGCGCCGTTGCGCCTCATCAGACAACAGCAGCAAACCGCGCGTGCTTGCCCAACCAGACAAGTTCCGACCACCCTCGCACCCCGCGCGCCGGGTGGTGCCGACCCGCAATGGCAGGGTGGTCAGCGGACCGATCAACTACCCCGGCCCTCGACTCTCGGAGAAGGAGAAGGAGGAGCAGAAACACAGAGAGTACCCGAATATGTTTCCGCCCGAGGGGACAATCATGTACAAGTTTCTGACGAACCGGTGGATCCATATCTGGATTGCTATGGTTGGTTTTTTCCCCTTACTCTACTTTGGTTGGAGGCAATGCTGACGACTATGGCATGTTTAGGGCGTTCTCACATCCCTGGCTACGTTCACCTTCACCACGAACTTCAAGCATAGCTCGCCGTACGCGCACTTGCTCCCGCCGTGGTCTGCGCTCTTGACTCATCCGATCGACACGATCGGCCAGGCGCTTACCGTCTTCCGCATGCATGTACAGCATACCTCGATGGAGACGAGGGAGAAGCGCCTCAAGCGTGTCGAGGATGCGGAGAAGAGGCGGCAGTATCGGATTGCGCATGGGTTGGAAGAGCCGGATGAGAAGACCAAGGGAGAGACTGCGGAGGTGGTTGATGATCAGTCGCCGGTCGCGGTCGATGTTCCTGCAGTTGGCACCGGAGAATACATTGACTGGGAAGGAAAGAAGAAGCCTGCCAAGAAGTGGCTCGGTATCTGGTAGGGTGTTTCCGGATGGATGGAGAATGAGTTCGGCGGGTTAGGAACCCAGATCAGCGCTGTATATTAAATTGCTATGATGCTTGCTTTTGACCTTGTGTCTACCCATGCATTGTTCTATGTGTACATGTCATGATATATCTCCTGGTCATCACGTCTGTTTCGCATCCAGAGAACCGGCATAGACCTGGCATATCAGTCCTTATTTAAAGTGCAGACTGCTTCTCCCACACAGCAGGCCCGTCTGTTTTCGCTTTACCTGCAGCGAATGAGCCGGCTGTTTGTGTGAATCAGTCAACTGATACACATTGAGCGCAGAGGGCAACTTCGTGAAGCTTCTCTTCAATTCACAATGCCTGATCGACTCAACCGACGGAAACACCCTCTAGCCCCTCTAATACATCCTCACCCACACCACCCTTCTCCAGCGCCGCTTTCACCATGCGCGCGATCGTACTTCTTTTAACACCGCCACGTCGAGGTCTCCAGACTCCAGAAACTTCCTCCTCGCCGGTGGAAGGGCTCAAGATCGTAGCATCCTCTGCAGCAGCGGAAGACCCTATCGTAGCGACATTCTCCGAGTTTGGCACGCCCGGCTGTGTTAGACGGGATGGAGGGTCAATTGTTCTTATTGAGAGTAATTTCAGACTACCAGTCTCCCCGTCGCGGCTGACCGAAAGGGCCAAGACGGTATCTGCAACGGCAATCTCTTCCCTGCTGGGATCGAAGATGATGTTATCGGCCACGGAGATGACCAGCAGCGTCACTGGAGGCCGAACGAATTGCGAAGGTGAGGGTGTAGCAGCGTTTCCAGGACTCTGGCGAGGGTAGAGATATTCGGCCGCATTCCAATCATCGTCGAAGAACGGGTCCTCTTCGCCCTTGGATTTCAGTTTGGGCAGTCTCGTCGACAAAAGCGCCAAGTGCGTCGTCAGAGAGAGTAAAGGAAGCGGGTACGATAGAGGCTGCGAGAGCAGCAAAACCTATAGTGAAGAGATCAAAAGTCAGCACGACAAAGCACAGGGTAACACACGGCCACGGCTACATGCGCCGTCCAGGCGAGGTCCCTTACATCGATATACAACCTCCAATGCCAGCGGCGGTTAATGACCAGCCTCCCCTTCAGACCGCCAGCCATCCCCACATCGCCTCCCTGCGCACTCGACACAGATTCGATCAGCGGCTCCCGCATCATCTCCGACAGAAAAACAGGCAGGGCATCGTCGTCCCGAAAACCGGGAATCTCAATGGAGATCTGCACCCACGATTCGTGCCCGCCCGCTGCACTCATCCCCTCCTTGCCGTCCGCGCCTTGATCGGCCGCGTAATCATCCCCCGATGACAACTGCGACACCTTCAGGGCCTCTGCCGCCAGTGCCGTTTTCTCAACCTCCGCTTTCACTCCGACGATGGCTTGCGTGCCGTCTGCGAATCCGACCCGCGCGCTGCCATTGGTGCCTGGGAGGATATCGGTTTCTGCTGTTAAGGGTCGGAACTGTGTGGGTGAGCGTCCATCTGGTCGAATGGGACTGTCGGGAAGCGCGAGGGAGGTGTAGAGATAGGAAAGTTCTGCTGGTGATAGGTGTGGAGTCTGTGAGGCAGACGAGGCTTGTCGTTGGGCCGACATGCCAGGCTGTGGATTCTCAGCAAGGAAGGAGCAAGAACTGTTGATACAAGCGATGCGATGAGGCCTGGGTATCTGGTTTTTCTTGAGTGACTGTAAAAGCAGTATCGACCTTGCCGTCTGAAGAAGGACTCAATCGCGATTCTGCTATCGGACTTCAATGGCTGCAGTGGAGCCAAAAATGGGATTTCGGCTATGAGCAGATATCAATACACCAGATCATAGGAGAACTAGGCGCAGAAAGTCTCATGCAACACAATAATAGAAGAATTGATGGCCATGATATCTGAAGTACTGATTCGGGAAATTCTGATGAAGTATGGATAATTGTTGTTCCGACAGAGTCTTCTTCACCTACTCCATACTTGGTCTAAACATTGCATTGAAATTGCCATCAAGGCCGTTTACCCTATCGATGAGAATATGTTCCAGACAGCTACTCTTTCAGAAAGATCAAATGAGCACAGAAATTTCATTGTCTGTTGCATTAGGTGTCTGTATGTATATATAATGTAGGGCTTGCAGCCGATAAATGGGTACTATATTACAGGGTTTTTGGCCATCGACTACCGTCGTCGTACTTAACGAATGGCAGAACAAAATTGTACAGTGGAGAAAATAGAAGGTTCGCTCGACGAAACGAGTCGTAACACCTCCCCCAGGCGCAACAGAAAGGAATGACAGGCGACGATTTATATGCCATAGAATATACACGGGGATAAGGAGAAAGAGTGATGGACAAAGGAAAGATGTAAATGCTAGGAGCCAAGGATTGATGAGAGGATATGTGTATATATAGGGAGTGATGAGGTAGATCTCGCGACTCGCGCGTTCGGTATCAGGGTATATCAGAGAGCAAGGGAGCAGATGCCACGAAATATAAATAGCAAAGGAAAGATCAGAAGACTAACAGCCGAAAACGAGTTGCGAGGCCCGCCGTCTATAAAAGGCCTTTGGGGGTATGAGAACGAAAAGAACCGGTGAAAAAAAACCAAGCCCAGGGCAAACC